ACCAACGCTCCCCCACAGCACGACCAAAGCAAAGAACTGACACAACCCAAAGAGGACACGTCAAGTCTCAGTAAGCAGAGCATCAAGACCACAACGCAAACAGTGAATGCCGGGTCACAACCCAAAGGCCACGTTTACACATAGCCGGGTACAAAAACGGATCTACCTTTTCAAAAATAGCATCGTTCACACCAGATCGTTTTCATTTAGAGCTGCAATGAGCTGCCAGACCTATAGGGGGCACTGCAACGAGAAGCATAAAGCCATGCTAGCCAATCAGAATCCTGGAAAAAAAACAACGAATGGCACGAACTACTTCCTGTTACTTCAAAGATAATGGGGCGAGGTTCGTTTGTTTGGACCGACAGAGAAGCTCCTCCACATAATGTAACGTGGCTGAACGTAAATGCAAACGGGCCAAAAGCGTTGCACAAACGTAGAAACAAGCACTGCTTCAACGGCATCTTTTTCTGATGATTATGACAGCAGCCAAACTGTAAACATGGTCGCACACGTATGACGCTGATGACGCTTTTGTCGCATGCTGTGACGTTAAAGGATTCAAGGCCTTTATTGGTCACAAACACAGTTGTACACGGTACAACGCACAGAAACTCAAACCTCGTCTCCTCCCATAGACGAATATTAGAGATTTCTCTTCACTCTTTAATATAACACTGGTGAATGTTGACCACCATAGCCTCTCCGGCCAAAGAGACACAGTCAATGGCGGTGGTTTGCAATATTTATTCATTGCTTCATGTTCATTTGTCCATGGTTGTTCTAAATAACAAAACAATAACCCCAACACAAAATTAGTGACTAATCAACTGAAGAAAACATAACTAAGCATCAACCAGTAATTAAACCCCGCCAGAAATAAAGAAGAAATTATCTTACGGATCAGTCACTCATGGATTTGTTGAAAAGGAATTCCCAGGACACTTCAGATCTATGGAGAGATGTTTGCAGCTCACTGACCAGCCTCGAACGAATGCCACCAGCTCTACTTCTCCCACCTGATTTCAGTTGGCAATTAAGCCAGGCTTTGAGGCACCAGCCCTCCAGTGGCACACCTGTTTTGCATCTGGGAATCAGGAGAGGCTTCAGGGCTCAGGTGTCCACCAGAGGCAGCCATCTCCCCATTGCCAACAGGGAATTTGTAACACGAATGTTTTTCCAAATGTCCACTTTGGCCGCAGTTTTCAGAAATGATCGTTTTGGGTGACTTGTAGCTTCGTTTACGTGTAAACCAAAGACCCAGAAACATTGAAATATCCCAGTTTTTACTAAGTGTAAATGAGGCAAAAGTGTGTCTCCCCTAAACCCACCGCAGCCTTCCAAAGCAAGCAGCAGAGCCAGAACCCAGCTGGACCAGATCCACTCATCAGTGGGCAATCAACCGCAAAGACACCAGAGATAAACAA